TTTATGGTTTTTGCTTATTGAAAGATGATTTTGTACTTCCCCTTATGGTTGTTCTATAGGTTTTTTTTTTTTGGGATACCTTTTTTTATTTAATCAAAAAAATTCTAGGGTTTCATCAAAACAATATATTTGAAAATTTGGATCCAATTTTGATTTTGATTTTCCTTTTATTTTCTTTGCCTTCAAGCCTTCCCAAAGTTTATTATTTTTCTTGATTCCAAATTCACAAACTTTTTAAAATGTTCAAAAATTTTGGCACATTTTTGAAGGCTTTTTTTCCTTTTTTTAAAAAGATTTTTCAGATTGATATTAAAAATTAATCAAAAGAATAATGAAACAAAAATTAAAAGAAATAAAAAAAAAGAAAATGAGTAATCCAATTTTTCTTGGTTTTAAAGCTAAATTTGAGATTGAAACTTAATTATCAATAAGTGATTGATTCAATTGATTAAGTTCATTCATCTTGACGAAAAAATCTTAAGTTCGAGTCTTGTCGATGATCACTTATTAGAGTCGTCTCGAATGCACGACTTGCAGTTACCTATCTTAAGCTGTCAAGTATGACACATCTTGTTTTGACCTAAAGAACTGAACAATCTATATACTCCAAAATTTTTTTTACTAAAAAAAAATTAAAACTTAATTTGTCAATTTCAAATCCAACTAATAATTTTTAAACCCAAAATAAATTCCAAGCGTGAAAGTAAACCTTGAGGTACCTATAAAAAAAAACTTGAAAGCAAATCTGAGAACCAATCAGTCTTGCAAGACCTAAAAGTAAATATTGACTCTAACTCAACTTGATTAAGGTTCAATCATGAATATGAAAATAAATGCATCTTACTTTAAGTCTTTAAAAAATTATTCAATTCATATTTTTTTAAAACACTTTTAAAATTCTCAAAAAAATAGGATGTTTATACTTATTCTTTTTATTGTTTTAAATTCAAACACGATGTTAACTTAAAACATGTATTAATACCATTATTTTTTTATTTGAAACTTTTTTAATATATTATCAATGAATCAAATTATGATAATTAATTAGAAAAAATATATTCTTACAAAACTATTAAAACAAATACACAAAATTTTTTAATTTTTTATTAAAAAATATCATAATTTGATTTGCTGTCAATATTTAATATTTGATAATTGACATACATTAAATATAAATTTTAAAAAAAAGTTATATGAAATAATTATGTCACGTTAATATATGTTCTTTCTATTCAAATCATGTTATATAATTATATTATTATTAAATTATAAATTTATTATAAATTAATAAATTAATCTATTAAAATAAATATTTATCAATTAATTATCACAAATAATATATAATAAATTATTAATTTTTTAATAATATAATTATGTGATATAATTTAAATAAAAAAAATATCCTAACCTAAAATATATCTTTCAAAAAATATATAAACTCTTGTTTGTTTTTACGTTAGACGATAAAAAAAAAGGCAAGCCGTGCACCCTAGCGCACGATAGCGAAGATGATCTTGGAAATAAATGAATTTTGGTAGAACAGCCTGCCTAGACATGATAAGTCGGCGCATGTTAGCATAGAACCGGAATCTCTTTTCATCTGGGCATAAAGAAAGTTTACTTCGTCTGAATTGAGATTAGCATCAAAATCCATTGATCGATCACTTCTCCGACTTTCGATTCATTGAATCCCTTTCTCCTTCGAAATCAATCGGTCAGCTCTCTTTTCCTTAAATTTTAATCCAATTTATTATTTAATTGATGCTATGAACTTTTTTTTATTAATTTTAATTCCTTTTTCAATGATTTCAATACGGTGTCATATAGTTGTTCAGGTTTTCAATTTTGTTTAGATTAATTATTTGTTATGTTATATAATGTATTTTTTTATGGATAAAGAAAAAGGGGAAACAATTTTCTTTCTTCTTTAAAAAAAAAATCTTTTAAATGTTGAAAGATAGAATATTGCAGTTTTAAAGAATGTTAGACTCGGTTGATTATTCCTGGATGAACTAAATGAGCTAATTGTTGAATTTTTTTATACAACTAATAAGATCATAATTTTAATTGATTGATTTTTATCTGCAAATCCAAGACTAACCATTTGTAACAACTAAAAATTAATAGAACTATGACATAACAATACAAATTAACTATAATTGCATCTTTTTTTTTTTTTTGGGTTTTTCCTAGAAGCAATATGTATTGGAGAACGAGATGGAAGGAACATAGCGAAATGAGGAAACCTCATTTCACTGGTAGACTTTTGTGTTAGGACGGTGATAGATAACGTAAGATACCTTGGGGATGTCGTGAGACAGATTCACATCTTCTTGAGCGTATTTCTACCCATGTACAGATGGATCAATTATTCCACGTGGAAAAGAAAATAAGTTAATTGCATAGTTTGTGCAAGATTGGCATTTGGTCTGATTATATGTATATTTTAAAAGGATTGATTGATTGTTCTAGGAAGGGAACTCCAGTAACTGATAAAGAGAATTTCTATGAGCTGCAGTTTGGTCATCAAATATGACTCTTGTAATTGAGAGGATGAAGCTCAAGAAGTTTCATTTAGATGGAGCAGTTGTATGAGGTAGGTAATCTTTTAACTTTCTTTACTTTCATGCCGTCCTTTTACCTAATAGCTAGGTTGTTAGTGGAATGTTGAGGAACCAGCAATGTACCTTTACTTAAGGTGTGCACAGTTTTATGGATTTCCTTACTAAAGTTGGATGATTTATTGTAGGCAAAATTGAAGGATTTTCAGGAGGCTGAGAACAAAGCAAGTGATCGGCTTAAGCAGCTATACAAGAAAGAAGATGCTCGTATGCTTCTTATTCTTTGAATTCTTAATGACATAAGCCATGATTTTGACTTGTTGCTTGCTTGCTACATGTATGCTTCTGTCTCTTGAACTTTTTTATCACTGGTTTGATTTGCATTTACAGTCCAGTGCAATATTGCCCCAAGCTTTCTCTTGCAAGCACAAAAGTCTTGCCGAAAAGGCCATTTCATTCAAAAAGTGCTGAAAATTGGAACTATTTCTTAATTACCATTGCCAGCAACCTAAATCAGGCCAAACTTGCACTGAGAAGCAGCCTTTAATTGCGTGTCTATGTACTTGGATTAATATATTGAAGAGAACTAGAGAGTGCTTTGTGGTAGTTGCCAGTATATTTGTTGTAAAATATTAAAGTATTTACTGACTTATGTACCCTTTACCCTAAGACTGATTGGAGAGGACTAAAGAGTTTTTCTTGTGGTACTCTCATATGTATTTAGAGTAAAATATTAGAGTGATGCATATACCCTTTACCTTAATTACTAAAGAAAATGTTCTTTATGATCATAA